GACCCTTATTCTTTCATAAGAAAAATAAATAAGCAGAAATCCATGAATACATTTCCTTGTAAATACCAGTAGAAGCTATTGCAATTAAACCCAGGAAGAGGTGGGGGAGCCCAGATGGAACAAAGTTCAAGTCCTTCTGTAGCAAGCTCCTCTCAGTGACTTGGGAAACAAAGACTGCATTTCCTCTCCTCCCTACAGCCTCTTAACACTTTTCTGCTAGAGGGGTAAGAGTGGCTGGAAATACCCCAGTGAAGCATTTAGTCAGAAGACAGACACATAGAGAGACAGAGAGCTTTCTTAAACAATACCTTTATGTGCCTAAAGTGTTTTGTTTGAAACAGCTGTATGTGAATGACATTTGGAGAAGCCTGGGGCTTGAAGCCCACAACAGCTGCCCTGACAGACAAGACACCAGACTTCCCTGACAGCTGTAGGGCCTGGGGAGCTTCTGGATTCCTGGAAACACTGACAAGTTGTCAATTCAATCCAGTTTTGACCACAGCCAAATTTCAAAATTCCTGAAAACTGGGAGCCCTTGCTTTTAGCTACCTCAGGTCTGAATTTCTAGAGGCAAAACAAGGGTTGCAACATCACTATTTCCTGTTAAGTTCAAGTATTGAAAAGTACAAATTAGTCCTTCTCAGAATTGTGAGATTACCTCCAAATCTTGACACTTGAATGAACAGATGTTCTTTGCTCTTGCCTTCTCATTTGCAGACCTCTGATGTGTTGGTGGTATTTTTTTTTGTGGTAACTGCATAAAAAAATTTTAACTTTCACTTAAAAAAACAAGGCAAAACTGAAATTCCTGTCCAGTAATCTTCTGAGTGTTGCAAATGTTGTGGATAAAAGTAGCTGTGTTACCATGCTACTTGCTTCTAGATCTGACCTTTTAGAGCTACAGCCTAGTGCCAGTACCATAAAGGACAAACCCTTAAGATGCAGCAGTATGGAGCAGCTGATGAGAAGGAACACAGCTGCGAGGAACAGAACTGCAGAGCACACTCCAAAGGAAGTGGAACTCGGTAAGGGACCTCAGGAGAGGTAGGGAGAAGCCAGGGAAGTACAGACTTGGTTCCTCCTCAGAAAAAAATGTGATAAAAACAAGAAAGGACTAAGGAATCGTAATCTAAATGAAGACAGACCTGAACTTTTCAAAGTTTTTACTTTTCCAACTGGGACAAAACACCCTCACAGGAAGCCAAATTCTGAAAGCCTCCAACCTGTCTGCAAATACCACATGCAATAACCAGCAACTTTTGTATGCTTCCACAGAAATGAGTATTTTCAGAAAACTCTCATTTCCTCTTCGAATTCATATGCAACAGGAGCCCACAACTATGGGGATTGCCAGTCACTTCACATATCCCTAATGTCAAGACTTCCCAAGTACTGTGCTGTAGGGAGTTCTCTGAACTCCAGGGATTTCCCATCAGTCCAGACATGTGTTACAACACTGCAGTAGGACACATGTCAAAGCTGCTTCTGTGGTGTCACAAGGCTGTGTGGGCCCACCACCAGCTCCAGCAGGTCCAGGCAGCAGGTTTACCAATTTGTGCTAATTGGTCTATCCATCTCTTTAGGTGAGAAGATCCAGTGAAAAGCTGCTATAAAGCAGCACAGTTGTAACTGCAAAGCTCCGTGCCTCAGGTTGTGTGCTCACTGCAAACTTGGCTTAATTACAGCAACGTGACAGTCTTCACCCCCTACAGTTAAATCTGTGGTCTCTGGACTTGAAAGACCATTCAGGATGTCACATACAGCATGTTCCTACACAGACACACTTAGGACTCAATGAGGCAGATGGAAGCCCTAGAAGCATCTTCATTTTAGGTAGAAATACCTCCCTCCAGCCTCTGCCTGCTGGTTCTAGTTACAGTAAATTCTGTATTTGACTGAATGTATTACTATAAACTGCCTTCTCCACAGCAGCATTGTCTCCTCCCCACACATACTGTTCACTGAAGAGGGTCACCTTAATTATTTAGAAAGTGGAAATCCAAACAGATCCCCTCCTGAGTAGTGAGAACATCCAGCCAGGTTCCTAACCTGACCCTTGGAAATTCAGCTCAGAAGCCCGAAGTCAACAGAGTAAGACAGACAGACACTCCCACCTAGTGGGGAAGGCACAGCTCTGAGTCTCTGGGACTGGAGCTGCTCCAGCTCTGCAGGCTCACACACTCCTCCTACAGAACCCTTTGCTTTTTGAATCAACAAGAGTAACAGCTATGACAAAACCCGAGAGCATTACTTTTAATTATTAAGCAGAAGAAAAAGGCAGGTTAAGCCTACCAGGTTACCAGTATTTTTATCTCCTCGGTATTAGACATGACTGCGAATACAACTCTTTCACTTTACAGGAGTGTAATGATTAACTGCTGCAAGGTCAATGCAACAGGCATGTAAAATATTAGCAGAATGGCACAGTGGCATTTTAAACCTACTTTGCTACAGTAGAGAGAACTAAATTCTTGAATGCAAAATAAAGACAAGTCACTCATCAGTAAATAAAGAGGCTTTAATATCTAGGAGAGCATACCAGCTCATAAGCTGTGTCACTGTACCTTCTGGAGACAGCTCAGGGCTTTACTACTTTGTGGGTTCTTTAATACATGCTGTAGATAAAGGTAAAATAAAAAATTGTGAAGTGGCAATTAGAAGCTGGAGAGAAAAAGCCTCTTTGATCTATTTCCATTTCTGCATGCTCAGTAAAGACATCCACAGACCCCTCATTCCCCAGCAGGATGAAGGTGCCATCCTGAGGGTTCACTGGGGCATCACCTGCCATGGGGGTGGTAGAAAGGCTGCAAGAGCTCCGTTTGGCTGGCCTCAAATTACTTTAATCTGTTCTGGAACAGAATGAGATACACAGACTTTATGATTCATATTAGCCTTCAAATGTCTTTTTATGGGTCAGCAAAAAGTCACAAACGTGCACTTGCATTTCCTAGCAGCGTATTGCCCTTTTGGAACCACTTGCATGTTTCTAAAAAACATTCAGTCACCACAATCTGCAGTATGCAGACACAAAGTCACTGTGAGCAGCAGCTTTGTCACCTGAAAGTATTTACGATGGGGTCACCCTGATGCACCCTATTCTTTCAGCCCATGACACACTATCATTTCCCAGGTTTTGGGTTAGGTACTGCACTTTGTTCCCCTCTTAAAAATTATTCCAAGATTTTATTTTAGCACAGTGTGGCCTACATACATTTTAACACAATAAACTGTGTCTACAAATGGCATCTTCATCAGCGACATGGCTAAGCCCCGGGGTCTGTCAGGATGCAGTTTTGCAATTCTTCTGTTTAGTCCAGGTCAAAGACTAATCCAGCACTGAAATTTGCCAACTCATTGCTCCTGTCATGCAGATCAAGTCTGCAAGTAATTCCATGCTCATTGATGACACTCTGTACAGATTAGGTTGGAGATGACTTTACACAAATATTTTTACCACTGGATTTAGGAAGGTCTAGGCAGAACAAATTGTTAATTTCATGTTTGAATAACGGGTCTCACATTTATCCAGACCGGGCATTTGATATCAGCTGTAAGGTTTTCCCTTCCTGCTTCTCAATTCATGTAGGAAGAGACTGACCTGCCCATCTCCACATCAACCCCTGTAACATGAAGTGCTAGTTCTCAGCAGCAATTCTGTTTACTGTGTAACACAATTAGTAAGAGGTTTACACACTTTCACTGCCCAGTCAACAGCTTTGCTAGCACACTTGCTAAATTACAGGCACATACCCCATCTCATAGTGCCACAAGAACCACCTTTTCCAGATTGCACAGCAGTACAGAATTAGACAGCTTAACCAAGCCCTAACTTCAAATGAATCACAAAGAAACCTTTGTCCTTTACAGCTGTCCACCAGAACAAGCATTAAATAATTTTCACTGCTTCACTGTCCCTATTTGCCTTCAACAGCTGGTAAGTTCTCATCTTCCTATTCCACAGGCATTGCTTTTTGTATAGAGCTGAGGACTTTCCACATTCAGACCCAGACAGGACACAAGGTAGCAGGACTCACCAGCTGACTGAAAGCAGGACACCAGTGGAACTTTTTCTTAACCTCCTGCACAGCAGAAACTGAGCCTTACCAGCACTGCTGGGTCTCACACTACTGCCTTTAGAGCCTCAGCAAATGTTGGCTGTGCCTGAGGAGCTCTCCATGGTTTAAAGCCTCACCACCTGAAGCTAACTCAAGCTTCCTCCATAGCTTAAGCACTCCTTTCCAGAGCTCCAGTCTACAGGCGTATTTACCTCCTGTTCCTTTGGTGTGGAGTACCAGGATGTCTGGCACACACATTACAGCACTCACCAACAAATCCCTGCCTCAGCAGTCACTCATATCCAGGAGCACTCCACCAGTTTGTTTTTCATCTCTGCTATGTGGTATCTCAGCATACATAATAAAGAACAGAAAAAACCTCCAGTTTCTTCACCTTCAAGCAGACACCAAGCACAACATGCCAACCATTTATTTTTCAAGACCACGGGCATGCTCTGTTACATCACACAGGCCACTTCGTCCCTGCTTCAAGCACCAAGTTTAATTTGTTACTACTGCTTCACCAACATGGCTGTGCAGAGACTGGTATGTGCATGGAATCAGTCCTTTTAGTTTGAGCATGGTCTAAGACATACCTGAACAGTTAGTATGAAATGAGTGTCACATGCTGACATTCAGGCCCTAGATGAACAACCTGCCTGAGCCAGTACTGTAATCTCTTGCCCAAAGTAATGCTTCCAACACACATCAGTGTGATACACAAAGTTCTCATGTAAGAGATGCAGGAAGGGATAGGGATGACTGAAAACAATCAATTCAGGCAGGCAGAGCAGCACCTATTTCCCCTTCCATTTATCTTTTCAAACTTCATGAAAGCTCTGCAGCCTGTAATACAACAAATTACAAGAGGCATTTTTCTCTTCCAATTGCTTCAAAATCAAGTAACTAGACCAGGTATTTCTAAAAATTAGTCTCTTGTAGACAGTTATAGAAGATTCTTCTTTTGAGTTTTATTTGTTTATAGCAACAATAGCACATATTTCCACTTAGGTATTTTAGTGCAACAAGGAAATCCATTAAGCTTCAGCAAGGTGACCTATGTTTCTATATGCAATGGAACAGATTAAAGTGTCTCCCTTTGTTGCACAACAGTTTAAAGCTTCAGAACTCTAAGTAAATACCTTTCACAGAATTAAACAAGCAGACACTTTGCTTGATTATGAAATGCTTTTGTTGGATGAGTGAAGTGCTTTCTGCAGTAGAACAATTCATTTGTAAGCCACAAGCACTACTACAAGAGTGGTATCAGAGTAGAACTGGTGACATTTTAGTAGTCTGTGCAAGAATTCCACTCTACTTTTTGGAAGCTGCATATCTTGAAGATACATTCTCCCAGTTGATCACATTCCAGATGGCTTTCAAATAATCAGGTCGAACATTTTTATATTGAAGATAATAAGCATGTTCCCATACGTCAATGCCTAGCAAAGGAATGAGACCTGTGAAAAAAGAGGATAAACTCTGTAAATGTATGAAAACATACCTTACATGTAAAGTTTTATACTGCATCCCCAAGTTGTACCCAGTTTCGGAGTCTTAATCTGCAGGAAGACAAAGAGCTCTGCAGTATACTGGTGCTTACTGTGGTATTTTACAAAACAGTGCTCACACTCACTCACGCACACACACACACACACACACACACACAGAGAGCATAAACTCAAAGAGCTGATTTGGGTAAACACATCTATAAATATTCTGGAACTGCCTTGAAGACATGACCAAAACCAGATTAAGTCATTTTTGAAAGGTTTCTATCTTTTGCACAGTTATGCAAGCACTTTCATGAAAAATTACATTATAAAGGTTTCTTGCTATGCCAGCTTGTTTCCAATACTTTAATTACAGTCAATTTATTAAGAGCCTAATTACCTCCTTGTTTTTGTGCTAAAATACCCTTGTCACTGAATTTTTAATGGTAAATTTTCACAGGAGGGAGGGTGAAATTTACCCCCATTATACTCTATGTCCCTATACTAAATCTGTAATCTCATTTCATCCTACTGATAGGCAATAAACAGACTGCTGGCAATACATGAAATTCCTTGCCATTCTCTATGAATTCTGCAGAACATGTTTTTAATGTATCTGCAAAATGCTTTGGACAAACTGACAGTGCAGGCAAATTCTCACTGGTCATGACCTTCTCTCTGTGAAGGGTGTCCAGCCTGCCATTAACACTTCTGTGCCTCTCTAAGGAAGAATATCTTGGAAAAAGATCACTGCCAGTACTATGCTGCTTATCCAGCTGTAACATTTAACCACATCATAGTGGTTAATAGTTTGGTTAATACTCATTACTCTTTGTCAATATAAAGGAAGCAAATTATAAGGCTCCATTTTAAACCTAGTCTAGGTAGGAACAATAATTACTACATTCATCTTCCTGTTGTCTGGCCTCCGCTGAGAGTGCTGTGAATAGCTCCTCTGCCAGAGAAAAAAGATCTGAAGTCAAGAGGCTTAACGTTGCTTGCTAAGTGCAAGTTACTCCAGTTACTCAAAAAATCCAAGGAAGCTGAAGCTAAAATATTCAAAATATGCAAAAAGAACTATCACAATATGGCCTATCTATTTTCCCTTGGAGTAGAAGGACACTTAATCCTTCTGCTCTTCACGGTTTTTAAGTCCTGCTTTACAAATGCTGCTCTAAAAACTGCGTTTTCACTTCTCCTAGAAGAGACATTTGGTTCTTCTGATCTATTTATCTATCAGTTTCTTCTCAACACTGTCCACAAACCACTTTTCAGATGTCATACACCTGCCTATCAAATCTACAGAAGCAGAGGGTAAGGAAAGAAACCTGACCTGTTGTTCCTTGCAAAGGGTCTTGATTTGCACAAGCTGCTATCTGTAGGCGCCCCTGCTCCTTGTTATAGCCAAGCCACCCCCAGCCTGATCCTTGAACACCAACTGATACAGCTGTCAGCTTCTCCTTGAAGTTTGCAAAGGAACCAAAGTCACGCTTGATGGCTTCCATCAATTCTCCTTTAACAAAAAAAAAGCACAGAAATTTCACAGGCATATAAATCTCAATCAAAACCTCTCAAGTTTATCACAACAGCTTTTGTGAGATCTGTACTAAAGGGCCTTTACATTTAATTGCAGGTCACTTTAGGTAATCAGTACTCTATCCTCCCCAGGGGGATGTCTTCCTTTAGGCTTTAACTGCTAAACTATCCCTATCCAAACTGGAGCATAACTCCAGCCACTAGACTGGATAGATCTGCAGCACATTTCTTCCATTTCTGTGAACCGAGTACATATGGCAATTTAATTAGCACATCTTTGTATAACTATTTTCTCTTATGAAGGTGGAAAGGATATACACAGCAGTTGCCAGGTATTTTGCATAATCAGCTTTATAAATTAAAAATACTTTGTACATGTAGTTTTTTATACTTATGGCTTACATCCAAAAACCCCCTGAATACCTCAGAATTTTGGAAACTGTCACATAGAAAGGTGAATTAACTCTGAAAAATAAAGATCCTTTAGACTCCTTCAAAGAGAAAAAAGATCATCAATTCTACCTGTTAATTAATACTGATGTAATAAACCAATGCAGCACGCACTAACCTTTAGGCTCTCCTCCTCCATTGGGGGAAAGGTTTGTCCAGAAGATGGTGTGATTGATATGACCCCCACCATTGAACTTCAGTGCAGGTTGAAGTGACACCTGAGTTGTAACATCACCTAAGGATACAGAAAATAAAAATACATAAAAACATTATCATCAACACAACAGGCAGTAAGTTTCTACTAGGCCTCCACTGATCTCCCAAATCTTTCTACAAGCATCTAACTTATTAATGGAAAACGTCAGGTTTGTACTGTTATCCATGTTTTAGACAGTCACAGACAAACTCTATTAAAGATTTATTATCTTTGACCCTTTTTTATGCTGTAGTAAGTGATATGCAATATTGCAACTATCAGGTAGCCCACATAAGACCTACATCCATTCTACAGCAGAATAAAACAATGAGCACAGCCAGAACTCTTTGAGGACCCAGCATTTGTAAATTCTTCGGTATCATCACTACAAGGAAAGAATATTACTCACCCATTAGCTCACTGATTCACAAACTAAGCCTTTTTAAAGTTCTTAAAACAATTTACAGGGCTAACAGCTTGTGCTTGAGAAAAGTCATTAAGCACACCGAGCACATATGCAAAATGTTCTTCTTCCTATCTTTTGTTTCATTTGGGGTTTTTTGGAGGGAGGTACTCACAGAAGAAAAGTGACCCAAATAATTTTACCATACATGACAGAATCCTGCATCTGAAATCAAGATCAAAGAACTCTGTACTTCCTCTCCCTCCACAAAATTCTGTATTCCTTGAAGAATAATTCACTGGTGGCCTTGTGTCTCTGAGCAGTGTTGCACCACTTCAATAGAAGGATTTTCATTACTATTTTGGCTTTTAAAAACACTGAAGCATTTCAAAGGTTTTTAAAGCTTTTTTCCACCAGTCCAGTACATTTTTTAGAAAGGAATCAGTGGGGGAGCTGTGTCCTCCACACTCAGGACTAAGTGGTAGAAATTTTCTGAGTCACCTCAACAACAAAGACATGAAGACAAGCCTCAAAGCAGAAGTACATCTTTTACTAAGGCTTTAACTCAGGATTCTATGCTCTCAGCATTTCCTCACAACCTTTACAGAGAAGGACAGCACTGAAACAAAGCATCCAATGCAGTGTGTAAAAACATTATTTGCTGGATTTAGGTATCAGGTTAAGGATAAGTCTCTCTTTGCCACTTAGATGGCATCTTTGGGACATTTTTCCTGAATTTTGCATGCCTTAATGATACTTTCAAGTTCATCCAGAGCATACTTGCTATAACACATAGCAAGCCAGAAATCAAAAAGTAACTTAGAATGCCTATAATGTGTTCATCACTTTTTATTCTACATTTCTTAGAAGAACCCACTCCTCATGACCACGAGGAACCAGAAATGGCATTTCACTGTTGTCCTTAAAAAAATAGTATTTGTGCTGCTGAGTTCTGCACTGGGGAGAAAAAAAAAAAAAAAAAGAAAAAAAAAGCAACTGAAAAGGGGTAACTGGCCCTTAAGTTACAGCAGAAGTATACTGGAATTTATTGGTACAGAATCCGTGGAAAATTCAGTAAACCAAGACAAGAAGTTCAAAAGCACTCAAGAGACTAGTCAGCTCAGTTTTTCAGCCTAAGTCATTTATTTCCTTGTAAGAGTGCAATCACAGGTAGCATGATGGTCAAAGAAGAGCAGGGAAAACTACGGTAGGAGCAAGTTTCCAATGAAAATAAGGTTCAAGTTAATATCCTTCAATTAGCAAATCTGACACATTTTGATGGGCCAGCAGTCAGGACCAGTTTATGTTGAAACAAAGTCCTGTGCTGTCACAGAAGTGCACATTCATTTTTAAGTGAACTGACAACATAAGCCAACAGGATGGCTTTGAGTTTTCTACACAGATATAGATAAATGAAGAACACGTCAAAGATAATCTGAAGAGAATACTTTACTTTCTATTGCTGAGTAAGAGACACTGACAAGGTTCTGCTGTCCAGAAAAATTATTAGATAGTGATCAGATGTGCTATGTAACCCAACACTGATACATAGCCCAGAAACATTTTTGACTGTGCTCAGTTTTAACATGAAAAAATAATGACAATATTGACAGAATGAGATAGCAGTTCAGATTTTGCCCCAGTCTTAGAATTTTTCCTAATGAGGGTCAAAATACTGCACATGGTATACTGAGATACCAACTAGGAAAAAAACTAACTAACAAACTGCACAATCACAAATATCCTGAGTAATTATTTGTCTGCTTTGGTGTGCATCACCACAACCAATATATAATCCATTTGGAAAATAATCTCTGCAGAATCCTTAAGGAAAAATTAATTTCCACCTCTAAGTAAAACATTTCAACAGCAAGTGATGAGATGCTATCAAAAGCTGTAATTTCTAAAAAAATAACTCAAAGCATCCACAACACTGCAGATGCTTCTGATAACCAGAAATTCTGCCTCCAGTAGTGGCTGAAGCTTTTGTCATTTAACAGCATCAGTAACAGCAGCAGCAGACACACTGTCTTCTTACACTTCAGGCTCCCTCCCCAATTGTGTTTGCACTAATTACATCTCCAGAATCCACCTTTCTTGGATCTGCCACTGGCAGGGCGAGGCAGCAGTCAGTCTTGATCACCTGATTCTTAATCAAATCTCATTACTTCATTAATTCAGACTGTACAAGTTATTTTTAGGCTCACTTAGGTACTTGAAAAGCCCCATTCTCTATTCAAATACACTGGTAATTAATTATCAAGGGATGCATGGTTCATGTTTACTCAGGTATCAGCAATTCTCACTTTCACCCAAGTCCAAGCAGTTAAATTCCACTGTGAAGCCACCTAGCAAGCAGACAGAAGTGAGTTTATACAGTAATCATTTATTTGAGGTAAATTGATACCTTTTAAGAAGATCATCACAACTGCAAAAAAAAAACCCAGAAAATATTCCACCTTCTTAAAAAGGTATACCTGTTATTTCACACACTTTCATCAGTCCAACTGAAAGATTCAAAGTCTAGAAAAAATGCATCTCATGTTTTAGTATAGCTCTGATCCACTTGTGAAGTTTTCACAAAAGGCAGTGTTATCTCAAATTTTGAGACTGTAACAAAAAATTACATCATGGGATGGTTTCCTGCATATTTTGGTGTCTCACACGGGCTTGTGACCTACACAACTCCTTAATTTGACCCAGTGATGTAACTGACACCCAAATCCAGGTCTCTTCATTGCCTGTTGTATGTATTAACTGTATGTTTGTCCCACCTCCACTTGTAGGCAACTGACATTATTTACCAAGACTGAGCAGAGCATCTGATGTGGAAACTATCAAGGCAGACAAACTTCCCTTTGTCTAACTTTGCTACTAACCTTTTATTGCAAAGTACTTTTTCAGCAGAATGACTGCAATTTCCTACTGACTCAGTGTTTGTTCAGTTCAAGTTACTAATGGAGTATGGACTAAACCCACAACAATCAATACATTTTCTAGTTTTACAGCACTACAGAGAACAGAATTCATGCTTTTTACTTACATTTGATTTCCAATTATCAGTACTACTGAAGCTACAATAAAAGATTTTCCCCTAACAATACTGCAATGACATAATCCAGAACTTTTAGAAGAAAATATTTCCCTTTTTTTTTTTTTGTTCTCCTGTATCATCTACAGCAATAACCTTCCATCTCACCTGTTGACTGTGAATATACAAACCTTTTGCCAGTGCCTCTTTGTACTTCTCCTCAGCAACGTTCAGGTTGTTCACGTAGGTGGCATGATGCTTGCTGTGGTGCAGCTGCATGATCTCTGCATTAATATGAGGCTCCAGTGCAGCATAGTCATATGGTAAGTCAGGAAGAGTGTGCTTTTGCCTAGAAACCAAGCACCCCAAGGGTGCTACCAACTTGGCACTGCTTCTAGGGAAGAAAAAAACAAAACAGAAGGAAGTAGTCTTAGTCAGTAAAACTTAGGTTTTGTCAGTGAAATAGACTGAATACACTGTTATTGATCAGCTGCTTTAAGTACCTGGGGTGATATCTTAGCCAAAGAAACCAAATTTCCATTTCTCAAGAGTTTAAAGCAAGCATACCTTGCAGCTTAACTGCAAAGATGAATTCACACAAAGGTCACATACACAGGGCTTTGCACTGTGAAGATACTGCTTCTCAAACCGAGCCTCCAGGCCACGGCAAAGACTCATGTACCCTCCCAAGTATGCACGTGATGGAAATGCAGGGATAGCAATAAAAAGCCAGTAGCAACCTGACGACATTCAATGCTTCACCTAATCTTTATTTATTAAAAATAGAAGCAAAGATGTCGCCGAAACGTCCTTCCCTCGCTATCCATAAGGTCCGTGTACTGGGAAGTAAAAACGCTAAAAAAACCTGCAGACCCCGTGTTCCCAGGACTGAATCTCTCCAGCATTCACACAGACACGAGTTTCCCTGTCCCCACAGGGGTACCGGGACACCACACGGGGCGTCACGGCCGCGATGCCCGGCACAGACACGGCGCAGGCTGTGCTACCCTTCCCCAATTTAACACCTCGCACTTGTCATGCGACATGACAAGGGCCACGACGAGAAAAGAATGGCGGGGCCGGCAGGACGGTCAGTTCTGAGGCCCGCCGCCGTATCGCTGGTGACCTTGACACAAGCCAGGGACACACCGCGAGCAAAGCCCTCGGGACCCTGAAGAGCGGCCGAGTGCGACGACCCCGGCCAGCAAAACCGGGAGAGTCTGGCAGCACCGTGTCAGGCCGCCAGAGCTCCTCGGCGGACGGCGCGGGCAGAACCTGAGAGCGCTCAAGAACGAGCGCCAGCAGCCCCCGCCCGGGCCGGCGCCGAGCCGGCGGGGCAGCCGGCAGCAGCGCGACCTCCCTGCGCGCGAAATGGCGGGGGCACACCGAGGGGCGAGAAGACGACCCTCCCGCCGCCTCCTCCCCCGCTGCCGCCCTCCCGTCCCCGGTTCGGCGGCGGAGGCGAGGGCGGTGCGGCCGCCGCCTCCCGGCGCGGGGCTCTGCCCAGCCCCGCGCTTTCCCCGGCGCGGCGCGGCTCTCACCTGCCCGCGGCGGCGAAGCGGCGCAACATGGCGGCGTTCTGGGGCCCGGCGCGACTGTCACGGCGCAGCCGCGGCCCGCCCGTCCTCCGCCCCAGCCGCGGGGGCTGAGCTCGGCCGAGCCGCAGGTGACACACCCCGCGGCCACCCCCGTCCTTTGAATTCGGGCAAATAGCATTTCTTAGCAATGAGAGTAGCTCGTCGTTACGAACGGAACCGCTCCTAGACTCGTTATCTTAAACCTCAGGCCCGATAAAATGCAGCCCGGTGCCTGTGGCCCCGGGAGGATAGAGCAGCACAGCGCTTTGCAAACCTACCGCGCCAAGACGTGGTTCCGGCAGGTTAGTGACGGCACCGGCAGCGCGAACGCTACCGTTTCGGCTTTTTTGTCTACGACTTACTTTTGTTGGGTCACTTCTGTTCTTTTACCCATTTTTTGGGTATCTTGTTTTCACCAACAGCTGCTTTCCTGCACGCAGCAATTCAGCGGCCTGTGGTGCTCCTGAAAATCCTTTACCCAATTACCTTAACCCCGCCCCCGCCCAGCTAAAATAATGGGTAATGCTTATGCAGACGAGTCCAAAGTTAAAAACTGGCTCTCAACCGAGGTCAGGGAGGAGAAGCTCATCCCTCAGAGTTAGAAGGCAGTCTGCAGACAAGACAAACGTTAGGTAAAATTAAAATTGTACGGAATTAGTCTCTGCTACCGCAAAACCTTCGATCTTTGTATTTTGTCTTTTTAAATAAATACATATAACGTTAAAATCCTACAGCACCCACATTTGCCAGACTATAAAAACTCAAATTACAAAAATGCAGTGGGGGCTAAGCCTGAACAATTTTGTTGAGAATAAATAACCTCATCTTGCCAGTCGCAAAGAAATCCACCTGGAACGACCCACAGAGGCAATCCCAGCCCAATGGAAGACAGAGAGCTTCCATCCCTCACTTCTCGAGGCATCCTAGAAAAGGACAGTAATTCAGTTTCTCTTAGTTTAATTTGTGCATTTACCCGTTAGGTACTTCAAGATTTTGGGTTGTTTTTTGGGTTTTTTTGTAATCGTTATTAAAGTGCTCTTGGGGGAATCTGAGCAGTGAAAATAGCTGCTTTCACGGTAGATATAAGGCAAATTGTCCAAAATCAGCAAGCTGTTTCTTGGTCCCTGACTACTGAAAATACATGCAGTAAGATACAGGTTCGATCTAATTTTAAAGAGGAATATGTTGTGTTTATTGGATCAATAAAATGTCATTTTTTGTTAAAATGAACCAACTACATTCAGGATTATTAAATGTCGTAATGCAGGCACCAATAGCCAGGCAAAACCATGAATATTACAGGCTTTAGCATTCATATATGTAGTAATTACACTGCAGTTCACTAATGCTTGTAGCAAGTGTTCCATGAAAGCAAGTCAATTATGTAACTACATTATTAATTTTATTATTAACTGGCACAGTTGCTGGGTTGCTTTCATTTTGGAAAAACATCACACAAAGAACCCCAGCCTGCTTATTTAGAAGATACCTTCTAAGCAGAGGATGACAAAGGGAATGGCTTGTCTTACACAACTTTTTTTTCAACAAGTTAACTTGAAGTCTAATGGTATAATTTGTATTTCTGATTTTTTTTAACATTTATTATTACTATTTGTTACTCTTGAGAAAATAAAAACCTCCTATAAAGATGATTTTAAAGTCATGAATGTCCTGTAATACCTGACTGATTTAAATAAATTCATCACCACCTGAGAGCTATGCCCTTTTTTTTAACCACAGATTTCCTCACAAGGCTCTTTACCATCTGATCACATAAAGCCCGATTACTATATTGTGTTATGAGCATTTGAAGCTTCTTACAAGTATTGCATTTTACCATGTACAGGACCCAGGATGTACATATATACATATGCTACATGAGCAAGCACTATGATGCCAAGATCAAATAAAATTCATCATCAGGGACCTCTGTCATCTAAAAATTCTTTTGGGTGCCAAATGGCAGTACCATTTTTGTATAGATATTTGTTGCTTCCCTTTCATGCATTTACTGTTATTTTTCAGGCAATCAGGCCTGAAGCAACATTCAAAAAGCAACGAGGTATCAGCAGTGGAATTTATACTTCCAGTGACTGCTACCCAAGTGATTTAGAACATTGATGTGAACCCTATGAAATTAAAATAGCATTGGTGGGCTGCTATGGACTAGCATGTTTTTGATAGAGACAAGTGTAGCTGGGTAGCAATTTAATTACATCCATTTGTCTTGGACTGCAAGACACTAATTTACACAACTTAAAAATGCTACCACAGACATCTTTCTATAACCTAAGAATTTACTGCAACTATGAATTTCAACAGAGTGTGCTCTAGAACTTTTGAGAAATACTTCTTTCAAAAAAGTCTTGTTTCCACAGTGAATTGCAAAACAGTAAAGCTATTTCTTATTTAGTAGCTACATATGCATTCATTTTATTAGTTATCTGGTAATTACAAGACTCACAGGTAGAAAAAAGGTTGAAACTACACTTAACCCCACCCTAAAATAAACCACTAAGTACTTCTGTCTTACCTTGAACAGTGCATTTTCATCTTCTTGCTCATGTGCTACCAACACTAAACTAATAGATGGAAAATGAACACCAGAAATCCAGGTTCTGAAATTCATAGCTCATTGCTGAGCAATAGAAGTATACTAGAGCAATACTGAGCAATAAAAGTATGTTTAATTAAAGGGAATTCTGTCATTCTCTGCACCTGTTAAGAAATCAGTTTCCTCAGGCAGGCATTTGAAAACAAAATTATCTAGTTCAAAAGGCTGAATTGCTAATTCCTTAATTTTTTCTAGTTTAATTTGTGCTGTTAGGTACTACAAGCTTTTGCGTTTGGGTTGTTTTTTGGTTTTTTTTATAATCGTTAATAAAACCAGGTTCAAACTCTAAGGTTTACTTTCATTAACTTCTCCTTTCCACCTCCCCACCACCCCCACCCTTTTTCTGCCAGTAAGGACAAAACCTGTGGAACAAGCAGTATCAGGCTGTCCGAAATTAGCACTAGTACACACCTAAAGCTTCATGTATCTGGCATACACTGTATCAGATATGATTGACACAGATACAAATTCAAAATTCAATTCAAAAGCAAGGACTATAAAAACACCGCATACAAGTAAACCACGTAAGCGAATGCAGAACCATGAGGAAATTACATTATTAAAAGTTTTTATTTAGGTTTGGTCAGTACAGGTAAGATAATATTGGAGTCACAGAGCAATATGCATCAACAGGATACAACAGTTCTTTAAAACTGAGTAACTATGCACACAATTCATAAACATTCGGTCACCTAAGGAGAAAATGCACAGATGTATGGTGGGAAAAACTGTAATTAACACTGAAACTACTACAGGACTCCTTCAGTAAGTCCATCTTTTTAGTGATAAAACTACTGTACTGGGCAAACTTGGCAGTCATAAACCCACAGCTATTATGACAAATCTTGAAGGTGGTGTTAAGTATAACAGTATGAGTAAGAATGCCCTTACACAGCACAGGTTCTAGATATACACAGATTTGTACAGACATCATTTATGTTATACTTTATGGAAATAATTTCCATTTCAACTTCACATTAACTCATATAAAAATAACTTGAGCTACACAAACGTCCTTTTAGCAACATTCAACGTAATTAACTGTTAAAATTTCCAAAGTGGCAGAGGTATTGAAGCAAAAAGAAACCCACAAAAAGGCAAAATTGTGACAAGTATGCACTAATTTAAACGGCTCCTGGACAGTATCCTCTCCCAATTTCAATGACACTGTATAAAAATTTTGCAGAAAAATGTTACAAAACTGAACCCTGCACATTTACACTGGAGTCCAAACCATTCTGGACATGACGAGAACCCACAGTTCTGTTACCTTTCATGCTCACTGTTTTCTCCTCTTGAGGATCATGATTGGAGTCTGTGTCATTTGAGTGGTGAGTGAGAGAGTTTTCACTGCCAGTGGGAGAGTCTACACTTTCATACCCAGTACTGAGCTGGTTTATGTAGCTACCACTTCCTCTACCAGTTCTATCTTCAGAGTGGTTGGACAGCTTATTACCATTCCCTGGAGAAGCTGGGAAGTCATCCTCTGTGCCGCTACCCTCCCTATAAAATCCAGGCCCAGACGTCCGCTGATGGGAGGAGCTGCCATTGCTTGGTCCGTTTGCCAGGCGGCTGCAGTCTTTGCCCACGGCCTCTCCCTGCTCCGTGGGCTCAGAGGATGGAGTCCTGCTGGTACCTGGGTTGGATGCCTGGGACTGCTGCTGCTGGTACTGTGCCAACTGCTGGCGAGTCTCCTTCAACTGCTGCTGAAGAACTAGAATGGTACTCTGCATACCCTCTACCTCCTCATCAAGCTGGATGATGAAGTCATTCAATTCTATGTAAAGAAAACACATTTGTTGCAAACACTTAATAGCCCATATACAGCTTGAATCTCAGACAAAATTAAAATCCCATAACTCAACATTTTATGCTGAAATTTTTCAATGAACTATTTCTCAGCCATCAGGTATGCACTGGTTTTGATACTCTGCCTCTGAAGGAGAAAATGCTTAACAACTGTGGTATCTACTTATTTTCTATACTGCTATTGAAAATATGTGAGAAAAATTTAATTTCTGGGCAAGAAAGCAAGATATTCAGAAAAAAGCTCAATGAAAACAATATTTTGCAAGCAGATACTAATGTGTCTACTTTTATTCAAGTATAAATCCCCAGCAGAAATACTATAAAAGTGACCATGAACCATATCTATACATAACAGATCTGATTAACTACAAAATCCTATTCAGTAGCCATAAGCATTATTTTCTCATCATATTTCAAGGAAGTTTCAATTCTTACTGTGTTTGATCCTTTAAATCCTTCAAGAGAGGACGCAAAAAGACCTTCTTACCAACAAGAGTGTTAACTAATTACACGAGGTGTTTTAATATTTATGTACCAGAAAAAGGTTTTTACAATTAGTACTGCATTCTGGAACAAAACAAATTTGACCTCTTAACAGTGTAAGAAACACTGACTCAGTCTTCAATTCAACTGCAACATCAGTATGACAGAGAAAATAAAATGCAAAGTGCTTACTATTGTAAAAATAATTAAAAACAAGTGTTCTTGCTGCTATGGAGAACAATCATTAGGAAAACTGTTATTGCAGGAATATCATCTTGATTCATCTACGGGGAAGAAGCAACTCAATGCTGGTAATTACCACATTCAAAAGCAGCAGTCTTCAAAGAATGTCTACACTTGCTTCAATTATGTACTTGGTAAATTTTGTTGAAGTGTGTTATCAAAACAGTAGTTACTACTCCCAGAAAATGACATTATACAATCATTTACCTTAAGAGTTCTAGTTATTTTATACTGCTATTTTCTCCAAGAGATTAAAATATGATTGGGGCAAGATCTAGCCTTAAAAATGCAGGACATCTGAGACTTAGATGTGATGCCATATCAAGTTACTGGTATCTTACAATCTTCAGATGTTAAACAAACAAAAAAGATACTCAGGTCTATGTGCTGTCTAGATAGGTTATATCCCCAAACTTCAGAAAACCTAATTTAACATTCTATGAAGAGCCACTGACACTACACAGAATGCAAGACTGAAGACCTTTAAACCTGCATTTTCTCCTCCATTTAAATTATGCAAGAGGTCAGAGTTTTTAGATAATTTCAATTTAGGTTTTCAGTGTCGCAAAATTTAGACTTTAAACATGATGAGACATTTTCATTCATCTGAGTTAAAGGAAAAAAAAAATACCAGTTTTTCACATTCTTAGATATCGTTGAAAAGTTGGTGATCTTTTAAAAGAAATTCCAAATGAGTCAGTTAACAAAAAGCTGTTCTCAGTGCATGCCTAGGCCTCATGTAATGTTAACAGCTTTCATCTTGCCAATTCACCAGTAGTGTGCAGTCTAAACATTCCCTATTAAGTAGCAAGACTTATAGTAAATATCTCTATTTCAAACATTGCATTACTAGAGCTGAGGATCCCACCAGTTCCCCCAAACTTAAGGATTTTGTTTGTTTTTAACTAAGACTACCAGTTAATACTTACAACTGTCATATTTTGCTCAGTACAGCCCTTTCATTCTAACAAAGATGGTTTTGTATTATGTATATCATCACAAAATTAAACTTGCAGAAGTGCAAAGCAACTTCTATTTTTGTTAAAAAATCCCTTACCATCCTGACTGCTTTTAAGTTCCTCACTATATTTCTTCTGTAAAGCCAATTCTGCCTCAAGCTGTGCAATACGGCCTTGGGACAGCTGCCTTCCAAGCTCTTGATTCTCCTGGATAAGCATTCGACACTTCGCCATTAACTTTTTCCCTGTTTGGCTGCAAAGGAAAGAGCCATCTATCACAAAATGAATATAAAACCTTTAGTTATCTTCCTCAATCACAATTACAGACAAAAAGGAGATGCAATTTCTGCATGTCACAATTCAAGGAACATTATGCCTCAACATAATTGTCATAGCAGAAAGTCTCCCTATAGTTACCACATGCTGTTCCAACGCCAGTTGATCTTCAGTCGCTGTCCCACAAAGTGGAAGGCAAGTTTTATTACTGAAAATATGAATAAGCATATTGTACTTTTTTGATACCAACATCTGGATTATCAGTATGCACAATCTTGCATGTGCCAATTCTTAACGGAGTTAAATATTTGATTAAAGATGTGTTTTGCAATTCAAAAGATCAAGGACTACACAGAAACTACATGAGCAAATTATAAGCACAATCATTCCCCATCTGTTGCACTAATGAAATGCAATAGCTGAATTTGGGTGAAGGAAGTTGCTTGGGGGAAATAATAAATCTCATGTTCATTTTTCATATTGACAACCATTTTTCCTTAAAAGGTTTAACCTTTCTTTTGAATGCTGTACAGGTACTCTTGTTTAAAAAATGAGGCGTCTATTTTTCAATGCTACTTGTATGTTTGACAGTCACATGCAGAGTCTGCTTCATGATTTCTATGGTCAGCATCTCTTAAGTACATCTTGTATGAAGAGGAATGCAAGTGTAGCTGAACACTGGAAGGACATCAAGGAAGAGGTATATTATTTACTTCCTTTAAAATGACAGATTTCAGATTGTAAATAATGATCATCAGGACATTCAATTTCTAAAAGAAATGTGAAACAGGTAGGAACTGACAAGATTTTCTTTACTAAATTGGTAACATTACACATCTTTAATCTTCATCATAAAAATCTCATTGTAAAGCATTATAGGAAGTAGTATGCAAATTAATATATAGGCAATACAGCTGACTCCATGAAAGAAAAATTAAAGTCCTTTAGGACTCTTAGTCTGCCAGGTCAGGATAGCATCCCCAAACAGTTCTTTTAATAGGCTCAGCACCATAATAAAGCTGTCTTCTTTTCTATAGAAGTATAAGCTCTGCCAAAACCCCCAAACTTAAACAGTTTTATTGTGAATTCAATAGCAAGACTTGCGTTACTTTTCAAGACCAAGAAGGTCATTTAATTTTTTATATGCTTTTAAACAAGTGACAAATACTGAAAAGAAATTGAGGATTAAAAAAATAGAACAGGAAATTTCTGCTACAATCACAGCCACAGTTCTCTCCTGCAACCAAAATACCCAACCAGAAGAATTTAAAACAGCAATTTCCTTATCAACTACCTTCTGAGCACTCAAGTCTTAGAACAACTTTTAAGTTCTCTGCCAACTCTGCCCCATTTAACATTTTTCAACTGACTTTCCCAAATCTTTCAGATGGGCTGCTCCAGAAGGAATCTGGCTGTGTAAAGTCCTGGAGGCCTGAAAATCTGCTAAAGGCAGCAGCCTGTTTTCTTTCTTGATGTGATGTCCAATGCCAGGTCCTTGAAGTTTAAATTGTGCCGACCTAATACAGTCCAAGTCGCACATTTAAGATGCAAGTTTCCTTAGAGATGTTCATTCTGTGCAAAGCAGGACCACTTTGGAGATAACCAATGTGACAGATCCCAAAAGTTATTAGGCAGACATGATTTTTAGCCATTGGCAAATTCCTGTTACTGTATTCATCATTACTGCAAGTAGAAAAAGTTTACAATGCTTAAGTCATTTAATGTTTTTCTCTTCACAAACCAACATCAACTGCAGAATCAGGAAGTACCAGTTACCTTGGAATTGGGACAAATTTAGAATCCCATTAATATCTTCAGGTTAACTCCTGCCAAAATGTAAAATATTTATTACCTGTATAGAAATTTGCATAGTTACCTATAATGCTATTTCTTCCCATCAGAATTTTTCCAGATGTTCTGAACTAGCAGAGAATAACCCTTGCAATTTACAAAAAGGACAATATATTCAAGAACATTAAATCCATTAACTATTAAAATAATTCCTATGAACTGTAAAACTAAGTTCAGCATTGTTTTCACAAATCCTCTTGAATATACATGCAACAAAACCTGTAAGAATATAAGTGGTTAAATTTCAGAAGACTAAAGTTTGTTGTACCTAGGCTTACTGCAAAATGACATTTCAACTAATTTTTTTCCATATCTATACTCTGCTTAATGGTGGTTAAAATGGCTTAGCATAACCATTCCTTTGATTACATGCCCTTTCATTTCCCCCTTCAGACATCAGCAACGTTTATGCTGCACAGCCTTATCTACAACTAAGGTCCGGAACTAACTCTGCTTAGGGCTGCAGTTAACATGTTATCCACCCCAAGGACATCAGTTTAGGATCTGAATAGGGCCATTGCCTCTCCCAAAAACTAGGCCAGATGCCATGAAATTAATAGCTGCGTACAAGGATGGACAATTAAAGCAATTAAGGGGGAGAGGGGCAAGATGCAAAGAGAATAAAAAAACCCTACTAATATTTTACATGAGCCTATTACTTTACCTTTCAAGAAATGAAAAGCAGTAAAATCTTAACCCATTTAACAAAGCCTCAATAGTTTACCAGGAAATAACTATAACTTTCTATATTTCAGCCACTGCATGTATGAATTATGCACATTCACACCACTGACTTAAAATTGTATAATGTAAATTAGGGTATGTTGCAGCTACAGAAATAACATTTTCTTTTGACACTTGAGTTTGAAAGGAAGTAGCAAGTTACTCATCTCTCCTCAGCTGTACTCACACATTCAGAGCCTGAGGACTTTAGAAAACCATCAACCTGTATCTAAATGTATTAAATCATTTTCTGAACTCCAAGTTAGAAATAAGCAATCTGCATGGCATGCCTCTTTCAACACATTATAGCAAGCTTTACAAATGCCTTGGTAACACATTAACGATTTATTAATATAAGTCTTACCTCTGTTTTGATGCTAGATCAATAAAATCTTAGATACTGCTATAGCAAAATCATTCCGGATGTATCACTTTTAAAAAGGTAAAATTTTTCTGTGGATTTTTCTTTTTGCTGTTAAGTCATTACTCATGCAAAAGAAAATAAACCTGCATAAGTATACTACTCTTTGATCCCGTATTAATCACCTGAAGCACAAACAGTTAAAGATACTTCCAAATCAAAATTATGTTACGGCATCTTAATAAAAGTCACCAAAACAGTTAGAATACATCACCTTCTGTGACAGCTGAATGTCTTTTCAATTTAAAAATTAATTTTTTTAAACTGAGTCATAAAACGTTGCCCAACTGTTTTGAAAAAATAAAACCTCAGATTACTAAATAGACCTCTATTTGCTACGGGAGAAAACAAACACACAAATGCTACACCAAATCTACATTTTGCTTTACAGACCTCAGAGGTGCACTCCCAACTGTCCCAGATTGCTACTCTTACAAGTAACTTGGGACAACAGAACAGAGGCATCAATAGAGCAGCAAAAACTCCTTCACTGAATCCACCAACAAAAATGCATGCATTTAAGGTTTTTTTGGTTTGTTAAAATACTGACTTCGTTTGCAGCGAACGAGACAATGCAGAAATAACAACCTGTTCAATTCTCGTTCATCCCAGGAGTTTCACGATACAACAGTATATCCAGAAGTGTTCCTTGAACTACGTATTACAACTATTTCAAGGCACATTTTATAGAGAAGCACAATACAAAAAAACCCAGGTGTACAACGGAATAAAAACACCCCACCAACACTGAAGACAGTTGCCATCTTGTGCCTTCTGTATTAAGCATTTGAGATCAGTTCTTAGTATGAAGATCGAAAAATTCTCATTTCTGCATGAAAACATGCAGTGAAATTCTTATCACAACCAGTTTTTCTTATACATGCTAGTTGTGATCAAATATATGTTGCTTCAGACAATTTTAAACCTGCATTTAGATGGAACGTACATTTTTGTACAGTTCTAATTTTGAGGCATCCACAATATTACCAACCATCCAGAAAACAGTTCATTATTTAGCAACAGTGACTTAAGGCTGCATCAAGTGCTAGAGCCCAAAGGCTAAACAGTCAAATGTGTACACTACCACTGTTGTGATATCAAATAGCACTCTTGTGGCTATTCAAAACTGGTTAGCAAGTAAACTCTTTAATGCAAAATTCACCTCATTGAGTTTTGACCCAGCAGTTCAGTGAACAAGCAGGAAGTCCACAGTCTTATTGGCAAAACTGACTTACAGTGTCTCTAAGTCACTAGGCTCAAGGTTAAGAGCGAAGCATATTCCACTTCTACATTTTACGGGAATTTTACATGTTCAATTCATGATTTATAATCTCTAGGTTCTCTCTCCTCCAAACTGTCTGTAGACACAGTGTGCCACAGACTTAAGACTTCTGTTTCTCCCTCTATTTTCTTCAAATAGAACAATTTTGCAAATGTCTACATGTTCTAGAAAAGATTTTTTTCGAAGATGGCCATTTCTTCAGAATAGTCCGACGCTGTCAGGCCTCTGAAGCAAAGGGGAGAAAAAAGCTGAAACACAAGGTTCACCTGGTAAGTTTTACATTAAGCATTACAAGCTGGACAGTATAAGAATGTGGCTTTTGCCTCAAAACGTCTGAGTCTTGGTGTGGAAACGAGTACTTGGCTGTCCCACCATAGCATTCTCGTAGTGGGACTGTCAGGGAAGTCTTGACTGGGGAGTATTTGTTTTGTTTACCTATCAGGCGTAAATTTCCAGGCACTCAGTTCATTTTGGGCTTGTTCCAGTTTGTCTTTAGTCTGTTCCAGTTCACCTTTCATTTTTAGGAAAAACAAGTTGATGGCTGGGTCCACCATTGTTGATCGCAGTTGGGCAACACTAGGCTGCTGGACTTGCTTGAGGTACTGAATCTGATTCTGCATAAAATAAGAAAAAAATACTGTTATTCATACAATATTAAAGAAGAACTGCAAGTCATTTCAATACAAATCATTACCCCAAAGTTATCAAGGTAGCTTGCCTTCTTTCATGCTGCAACCCAAAAAACACAGGATAAAAAAAATCACCTGTGCATGCCTCAAACCCTTGTCCATGTGTTTGCTCACCCCTAAGCACCTGCCATGCTTTACCTTTCACAGCAGATTTCCCTCCAGACCCCAATTATTGTCTACATGTCAATTTACATTAGTCAGAGCAGTATCTGGATTAGAAGCAATTAGAATGCTCCCTTTCTTTTGTATCTGCCTGCACTCCTTCTGGGGAGCAAAGAGCATATGGAAATAATTATCTGCTTTAAACAGACAGTTAACTCCCACTTCAATGGAAGTTATTAAGGAACATTACAGTTTGACAAGAAATATTTACAAGCAAATAATAAAAAGGTTTTTAGAAACTTCTGAAGTTTTTGCAACTGCAATAGTCACGATGCAAGATTGTGTTTTTTTAAACAAAATAATTTAGAAATATTAACAGCAATTAAAACAGATTTTGGTTGGATTTTATTCCCTTGCATGGACCACAAGCCAAAGGAGATACAAGTTAGTATGTTCAGAACACTTGTAATAGTGAAAATTTCAGAAGTAACAGAAAACAGAGGTTTTCTTTTAAATACAACATTTATTATTAAAAATGAATGTAAATAAATTACTAACTTTATTAACTTTTTTATTAACTTTTTATTAACTTAAGATTAATAGTTTCTTCAATTTTAATCCCATCACTTAAATGATACTAAAAGTACGTGTCTAGAACCCTGCTAATCACCAATACCACATCAGCCTGCACAGAATGTGTTGATTCTTAAATTCAATTTATTATGCTCCCTGTATCACACACATTTCTTCATGAGCAAGAGGTGAACAGACTCACACAATGTTAAAAGACATTAATTGGAAGTCAGATGGTTTGTTTCCATGCAAGCAGTCCTGCAATCAGACTTGAGAGCAGAGAGTTTCACTGACAAACCCTAAAGGGCAAGAGTCTCCCTGCACTCTTGCTTCCTTGGGACACACCATGTTCCTGTACATGCAGTTACTCTCTCATGGGGTCTTTACACAGCAGTGGTGAAGAGGAAGCACAGAAGTCCTATGTACATTCAGTGTGCAGGAGCAACCTCAGTCATTTCTAATTGAGTATAATATGGTTTAATTTACATATAGTTAAGTAGCAAAAACTCCTGGATTTTATTTCAAGTGGTTTCAAAGGTACTAGAATAACTGAAGTATTGCCTTTGTCACATTAATTTGATATTATAAAAATACTTAGCTACTTAAAAAACTGAAATCATCATACTTGAAATTTTAAATAGACAAAGTTCTACGTATGCAAAAATAAATATAAAGGGAATAAAGCACTACATATAAATATTTTCAAGAATTAAAGCACTCAAGAACACACATACAAACACTACCTAGAAACAGGAAATACAGATTAAGATAATGCTAACAATTCTTGGATGGCATTTTACCTCTCGGTTCCTTTGCCTCACTGAATGCACAATACATTGCTCACTGAGTAAGGATCAATTTTATTCATTGTTATTGATGTGTATTTGATGTTCTTGTCTTCCTAAGGCCCACATTCCTCCCTCTTCCACTAAATCTAAAAATTGTAACAGATTCCTTGGATCACTAGCACACAGAATTGCTGCCACTGCTCCTCAGTCACACCAGAAATACACTTTAACACTCTGGAGGACCCAGCCAACGCTGTGCAGTGCCAGTTATTTGACAATCTCATGGGTGTCTCTCCAGCTCACACTCTTGAGCCCAGCAGATGGCACCTGTACAGGACTTCAGCTCATCGTTTCTAAAGCAATTGTGTAGAAAGAACTTATTTAAGCTTAACAACCCTTGCTCATTCCCTCCCCAAACTTAAAACAACAACAACATTCTCTTCCTCTATACTTTTTTCAACTCAAATTTTCTTAATCCCTCCACGAAAGTGCTTTCTCCAGTAGTTAACTCCAGAGTTCCCACCTGCCAGGCTCTTCATCCATGAAGACCTAGCAACCTCCTCCCAGTATGACCTGCTCCCAAAGCAAGCCCAAATGTCTTTCCTTGTCTGTCGATTTCCTAATTTTGTCGTCCTGCTTAGCCAGTCCAAACCTCACATTCTTGCTCCCTCTAACCACTTTCTAGTATGAGTCACCTCCCATTGATATTCCAGGTGGTAAGGGTTAGGGAGCAGGAGAGTTTGTTTGCCTGTTGCCTTCAGGCTACAGCTGAACATACAGGAATAGTCATGTCCAATGCTAAACCCCAGGGAATGCTCACTCTAACACCTGAAATGCCTACAGACTGTTCATATTCCCAGACATGAAAGCATACACTAGCTAGTATTTTTCAAAAGCCCATCAGATAGATAAGTAGAGGTAATTTTCACAAATACAAAAATCTTGCTATCAGCTTTCTCTGTGTTTCAACCCAATGCAGGAGAGCACTGAAAGCAGTCTATTTAGAGGACATCAGGCTGTGTGAGGTTTTGTTTATGTGCATTTTTATCTTTTAGTTAAAGACAGACAATAACATTTTCAATCCCTCTAGTTCTCACATTCTTGGAAACAGTTGCATGCCTTCAGCTGCAATCATCATCCAAAAACAGCTACAAAGAACAGACTCTAAACATGAAGAATTTATAAAACAGATTACAGGTGCCTGAGACAAAGTGTAAGCAATCTAAGTCAGATCAACATTATATCCTTCTTACAAGGAAGGAGTAGGAAGGAATGAAGTGCACAACTAAGAGAAAAAACACAACAGAGCTGTAACCTAAGCCACAGGAGTAATGACTATCTAGTGCTACAGTCCAACTGCACCAACAGAAAGTTCCACCCATTGTCATCTCCTGCAGATCTTTTCCATGAAAAACATATTTGAGCAGCAAGTATTTCCAAATTTCTGCCCAATTACTGACTCTCAGTAACTGTGCAGTAGCCTGGAATGAGGTTAAGGCCCTTGCCTGAAGTAGCATTAACTTTACTACCACCTCTGCCAGAAATAAAGCTTTATTGTAGAAACCATAGCCAATATCTTACCCACACTTCCCTAAAAGGAGCAACCTCTTCTAGGGGGTTGTTCCTGCTGGGGGAAAGGTAGCTTGAGGCTGCTGCTGAAAACAAGGCACACAAGATGTTAAACACCTGAACTTCTAGGTAGCCTTTAGTCACCCTAAAACCACAGAGAAACACTGCAGTACCTGTCACAGACTTTTACTAAGCTGATGGCTCTGAAGAAATCCATAATATTCTCTTGCTAGACTCAGCACAGAGCACTAGAGAGAATGGAGTTATACACTCCCCTCGCATCTTGTCTCTTCAAAAACAGCACCAACACAGAGTAAGGGCAATGATTCCGCTACTGCTACTCTGACATGCACACCTACACTTTAAAGATGACAGCTGGTGACTCTCATAAACTGAAAGCACACTAAAATGCTACTATTTTAAAAAAGGGTGAAAACTGAAACACCAAAATAGAGTTCATCACACCCTATTTTAAAACAGAGCTAGTGTACTTTAGTAAGCAAGGTGTTCTAACACTAGTAATCAGAAAACTCAGTATTTTCCAACTACTACCAGCTGAATGTGGTACAATATTAAGTTTTTAACCATTTAAATTTGAAAGCGGTAAATTTGAAAGAAAATGTCCCAAAAACACATCTGTAGTTTTCAAGAAACTAGACACCATAAATGCTCAGTCCTTCTGAGCAAAATGTGACAGGGAACATTGAAGGCTTACATATAAATGTTACTGATGTACTTTACATGTAAGTGTGAACTATAAAAAAACCTAACTAATAAAAATATGGAAAAATTATTTTATGGATTAAAATCAGCATGTCAAATATTCATCGTCATCACATGATGAACAGTTTACTACATGATTAAGCAACCCGTATCTTAGCTTTGCATCTTATCCAACATGATGTATTTTTCTACTGTTACTATAGTGGAAAAAACACTCTCTAGTAAAGCCTAGTCCTTCACACCTTCTTAAAACTATATGCACTTTTAAACTTCAAAATATATAAAGGTAAAAATGTCTCAATTATACACCTCCAGTGTATCCATTTTACACCTCTTTTTCAAGGATCTTCCTACCTCCATATACTATGGAGATTACATCCTTGGTGTAATTCTTGAGTCAGGAGCAGGAGAAATCTAAGCCACATGAGTGTGTGGGCACTTGTCTATTTTTTGTTTCTTTCTGGCAGGTTGTTACCCACCCTTTTTTCTTTTTTAAAGTACACTCAAAATCAAAGCTCTTCAGAAGTTCTTCTAAACCAATATTCTGGAAAGATTATGCAGCTATGAACATCTAACAAAGTGCAGCCAAAAACCCCTATAGTTCTCATGATATTGTCAAATTCAAAGCATTAAATACTTGAAGTTTATGACTTCAAGGGAGGAAGAAAGGAAAATACAGTACACACAAATTTGGTTTTGGTGAAAAACTTACATTTGTTTTTATTTATTTATTTTTAGTACTTACTGCTTTAGGTATATGCTTAGAAGTTCAAAAGAAAAAAAAAACCAACCTGTTATTACTGCTGTTCCACATAGCAGAATTTATCAGTAAAACTTCACAATTGGAGCAGGACCAATACACAACTAGGGAAGTGTTGCAGTACAGATCTTCACTGGCATCCTGGGCCACATTAACAGGAGTGCTGCCAAGGCTGAGGGAGGAGATCCTTCCTCTTACTTAGCACTGGTGAGGTATCTGGGGTACTAAGGCCCTACCTGGACACCCCCGCACAAGAAAGACACAGATATATGAGGGTGAGGCCAGTGAAGGGCCATGAGGCTGATTAAGGGGTTGGAGCATGTGACACACAAGCAGAGGCTGAGTGTTAAGGCTGCTCAATCTGGAGAAGAGAAGGCTTGGAGGATGTTAGGGATGTGCATAAATACCTGATAGGGAGTAAAGCAAGCAAAGCCAGTGGTGCCCACTGAAAGCACAGAAGGTGATGGGCATAAACTGAAGCACAGGAAATTCCACTTAAACATAGGGGAACACATTCTACTGCGTCAGCAATTCAACACTGGCACAGGTCACCAAAGAATTTTTGAGTCTCCATTTTAGGAGATGCTTAAAAGCCAATAGTGCACAGTCCTGAGTAACCTGGTCCAACAGACCTTGCTGTGAACAGGCAGGCTGGACTAGAAACTGCAAGTCTCTGCCAACCTCAGTGATTCTGGGCTTCATCTTTTGCCACTGCAAAGTAAGCATAATCCCCTTTATTTTTTTCCTGTTTATAATACTATTTACTGTGAACTAAAGTGATCTTATGGTCTTATGAACAGTGAAAATACTGTGTACCGAGCTCAGTCATACTACTATACCTACACCTGACAGCTCTGAAAAACTCCAGGTAAAAAAGAAAGGAAGACTTAAAAAGCAAAGGAAAGCTACAACACTAGTTATTAGTTCTGCACAGAGCCTGTATTTTTCATAAGAGAAGCTCTGAAGAGTATATTACCAAAACTAGCAATAAGCTTTTTACAATCCTCTCAGAAACTGTCAGATTCTAGCAGAATGAAAATTACATTAAGGTAATCCAAAATGAGACCGTTTCCAAGAAACCAAAACTAAATACAGATGTAGAAGTCACAAAAAACAGCCAGAAATAAAGAATAAATAAAGATCAACAAAATACGTAACCAGAACACTACAAATTAGGCAGAACTGCCAAAGTTCAAAAGTAGCAACTTCACCTATCCAGCCAGCTTACAAATACCTTGTTATCCAAAGGCAATGTAAGTATCAGCCTGAAACCTCCTAAATGAAACCAAGTAAACTCAGTCATATCCTTACATTTTTATTTGTTCCTGACTCTATAAGGACACTCAGAAGTAACATTTTTGTAGATATATACCGTAGATAAATGCTAAAAAAGAATATATGCAAGAATTAGCTTTAAGTAAAAGCCCTTCCAATCACAACTGCTACTGAAAATCAACAGAAGTAACTATTAAAAAATCCCCAAACTTGAAGAAGTGATCTTTATTAATTCAATGGAAGCTAAAGTACCCTGCCATGTCTTTAAACAGAAATGTAATGGTGTAGATAAAAAAAACCACAGCACATCGACACTGGCTCAACAGCTGATATTGCTGCAACTGTCTGAACACACTTATCCCTTTCTAAATACTTACAGTACACTCTTGCATCTCCTGTTCCTTAGTTGCCAGCCTCATCACCAGAATATTTTCTCTTCGGGCAGACTCTTGCTGTTGCTGTTTCAACTTCTCTTCAGATTCTCTCAGCCCCGTCACATCATTAGCTAACACGTGCAAGAACATATAGAAAGTATGTTTTAGCGTACCCTTTTATAGGAAGCTTTTAAAAGATAGCAAAAAGAATCTAAAAACCAAACTCATAAACAGAAGTCAAACAGCTACACCTTTTACAGTCATGTCTATAACCATCATAAACAAAACAAAATATCATTAAGTATTAGAAAAGCTTGACAACAAGTGGCTTTAAATCCATATTCCTGGTCCTTCTTTAAGACTTACTAAAATTTTGAAGATCGTTATATAGGAAATCACTTTTAAATTGCTTGCTTAACCAAATATTATTACAACCTGCAGTCTGAAACTTGGGAAGCTGGAACTGCCCAGATACACATAAGAAAAGCTGAGGCCAGGGTGGTGGAAGAATAAAGTCTGTACTCTCACAAAAACCAATCTGCAGTCTGTAAAACAGTGCTGTTTATAGCAATTCTCAAACTGGTCTCAACACTCCATGAGCAAACAGTAATACATTTGAGAACATTCTGTCACAACTAGAATTCTGATCCATGGACATTTATGAAAGTTTATATATGAAATACAAGAGAAGGCAGCACATTTCCAAATTACTTAAACAAAAACACATGCAAGTAACCTTATACTAACTGTATACATTCACTCTGCTACTTGTCACATGGAAAACAATGAAAAATTTTAATAACATAGATTTTCTTTTTTTTTTCTAATTTCTTGAGAATAATCAGACGTGAATATAACCTGAACATCACAAATTGCTTCAGGACAATGGTTTCTAAATAAATCTTTGTAGATAATTCATTAACACTGATTACTACAGCCTGTACTGGATCCAAGATCAAGAAACTAGGAATGTTGAAACAACTTATTTATCCATGTTTAGACAGTCTGAGATGTGAACGGAATCACCTGTTTCCACATTTGCTATATTTTAGTCTCTCCAAAACCCAAAACATTGAGACAGCAGTAGAAGGATGTAACAACAGCAAAAGAGAAGACATCCATTTGGACTGACAGAAAAATACCCTTCAAACTCAGTGGTACTATATCTCTAAATATTTAGACTGTGTCTTGGTCCTCAGGACAGACTGAAAAGGTGAAAACAGGAAATATACCATCTCTAGCTGCCAACATAACTTTTAAAAGTGACTTAGGATGGGCTGTTCAGTCACTCACAGAATGTATTCATATTTTCTCATTTCAGAGTAATGTATCTTCCCCATGTTATCTTCCAAAAGTTCAAATTTTAATGACCATATAAGAAGGACAATCAAATTTGCCTGATCAGATCAAATAATCCTTGGGGACTCATTTTACACATTTACCTCTAAGCACTATTTCCCCTCCCAGTCTTATAGTCCTGGAATATTATCAAAGGCACAGACATTCCTGGAGTATTCCAGTAGATAAAGTTTCCTTTTCTAATGGTCAAGTTCTGAAAGTACACCTATTTATGGGGTTATGCTTTGAAGCTTTCCCTTGCCCACAGTCTGTGTCCTATAGATGCAAAAATAAAGACTTTTTAGATGGTGGAATAAATTTGCAACTGCAAAAGAAGTTGGTAAGAAAGCTGGGAGAGACTGAAAACTTAGAAATCTAGAAAAAACAGGGTCTCTTTTCCTGACAAGTAACTGACATAACAGATCATTATCTCTCATTTCTAGGACCTTTAGAAAGCACATATATTACTTGATCACTCTGCTTTATACATTCTGATAATTTGCACCACTTTGAAACCCAGCTAACTTACAATTAAGGTCTGTGTACTTGCCCTCCAGAGCTTGCACGTATGCTTCATATTGTTTCCACCTGTTGCAGATACAAAGAGAAAAAAAAAAGAATTTTCTGAAGTTCTGTTTACTAAATCAAGGCATCTCATTCCTAAGCTTTCAGAGCTCACACTGATACCATAATCAGAAAATGTCAGGATGGAATTACACAACTGCACAAAAGAGAATTCCAGTTTTAAAAAAAGAGCTTTTAATGGTGGAAATAGTTCAATCTGCTTTGCATCTCAGAGGAATAAAATGGTAGCTGTGCATTACAACACATGAAATTGACATCTTAAAAATCACTATTTTACACAAATACTAGGATCAAACACTACTTATTTTGTGATCCTTGTGAAGTACCCTATATACATCTTATTCTCATAGAGCAATTCAAACAAAATTCTATAACAAACTGTGATACAAATACAACATTAAGTATGTTACCAAGTGAACAGGACAAGCAAAAGTGTATTATAACACCAGAAATAGCAGCCTAGGTTAAGCGTTGTATCAGCTCATTCAGGTTAAGACCACTCCGTGATTATATTCATATCCATAAGCCAAACAGTTTAATAACTCTTTGAAAACATGTTATTTAGGCAATTCATCCACAGTCAAAAAACATCACTTAAAAACAGCACTGAATTTTATACAAACTACCAAATCAGTAGCAAATATCCCAATGATTTACAGCTGTAAAGTTTAGCATGAAATGCTTTACGAAAAAAAGTTCACAGCAGTGTTTTGGGATTTTAAAGCAGCACTTTGTACCTAACTGTGTGTTCCCCATGATGGTACAACTGCACATTTTAAAGAAAATTAATCTAACAGCTTATCACTACAGAAAAAGGTGTTTGTTCCCTCCTCCCAATTACCCTCTCTCCCTGAGATGTATTTTATGCCAGATTCATCACAACTGCTCTATTTGAACTCTGTAACCTATACTTCTACTTTAACTGAAACTATAAAATCTACCTCAAGGTAATTTGGACCATGTAGTGAATTCAAACAGCACATTAAAGGACCTAAAAAGCATCAGGGATCTGTAACAGCAAGCAAGATTACATTATGGAAAAAGAAGTATGAAACCTCTTCCTTCAAGCAACAACAAAACTTTTACAACACTTCAGCTAAACATGGCAACAGCATGAACAAACACTCAAAACTCTGTAAAAGAGAGCAGTAGTATTTATACTTAACCCTTAAATTTGACCATTAAAAATTCTATGTTAGTTCAGGAGATTTCATCTCCCAGAAGTAAAACTGAAATGGTCTACTGAACAGCTAATCTAGAAAGAGATAACCTAATTTTACATTAGAAAATTACATGCAGTAAACAGTTGGTCTTCAAATATACAGGACTACTTGACTTTTAAGTTACAGCTCACAGCCCAAACCCAGTAATTCTATCAAAATCATGACACCCTCACACTTCCTCAACAGGAGCACTACACAAAGGAAGCGTATTGAGGACATGAAACACAAGTAGATGTGCCAGACCATTAACTGAAAAAAAACCAAAACAAAAAAAAAAACCAAAATAACCACCCACAAGCAAACCACGTAGCCCATGGTCACCAAGAATGTTGTAGACCTCTAAGTCACCTCTCAACAACTGCTACTACTTAGGCAAGAACTAAACTCCTGGAAAAGAAAACCTAGATGGCACTAGGCCATGTCATGGATTTCAAGTCTTATGCCTACCAACACTTCTAGAAAACGTAACTATTCAGATCTGGCATTTTGTCAAAAACCTGGTAACCCTTGCAGTTGAAGCAACTTGTACTGGGTCTGGCAGAGACAATTTTCCCCACAGCAGCCCTTGTAGTGCTATGCTTTGCACTCATAGCTAGAATGGTGTTGGTAACACACCAGTCTCAGCCACTGCTAGAATTGCTCATGCATTATCAAGGCACATTTTGTAGCATTCCCCCCTCACCAGTAGGCCAGGAATGGGTAAGATCTTGGGAGGGAACATAACCTGATCCTTGACTTCCTTGCCCCAGATCATGCCTTCCAGCATACCCGTAGCAGACTAAAGCAGCTCATCAGTGAATATGAGTGGCAGAAGAATGACAAAGGCTAAAAACTAGATTTTTTTCTCCCATCAGTTTGCTTTCCACTCAATATGGTAGTTTATGTTCATAATCTGATGGTTCAAAATTAATAACCTGAAGAGTTTCATTGAAGTTCTACTTGGAAAGGCATTCAAAAACAGACAGGAGAACTACGAAAATACTTTTGAACCTGTTCTGCATTCAAGGGATCACTTACAGTCTCACAAGAACTGGAAGGTAACTGAGCAGCATTGTCAGTTACTTAATTCCCTTCATTCTCTAAAAATACTAAGCAGTCTTTATAGAAGTAATTTGAAGTGACAAAGTCCTAAGTACTTTTTTCTTGAAGCACCCATATTTTATGCTGAGCTTTGGGGTTTGCAGCAAATAAGCAATTAGGGGTTAAGACACACACTGTACCCAGGCCATTCCAAAAATGACTGACTCTAAGTCCCAGTTGACTGAAGTTCAGTAAAAGCACTGTATTTCCTCAGAAATGCTTGTGTATATTGGAGTGCTTCAGTGTTTTACCAGCTAATTGCTCAGCTAAATGATCAGGGCAATACTGATCAGATTTTTAGCTATGATCCACAGAGTATTTCTTTACCATGCTCCTGGCTCTTCTTTCTCTCAGAAGCTCCTGCAGTCATGCTAAGTAACTGCTGCATTAGAGTGGGGAAAGTTTAAGATGAGTCCACAGCAGTAAGTCATGAGACAAGCAGAAATTCAAGGTCAGATCTAAAGCCTCTGTGTTAGTCCTGCTCATATTTTGTCAACAAAAGTTAAGATGAGCAAACCTGAATTATGTATTTCTCAGAAAAGAACAGTAAAATTTGGACTCGTGGCACAGAAACTGACAAAAAAAGAGAATAATCTTTTCTACCTATGTATTTCATCACTGTAACTGTACAGCAATGGTGATTTACTACCTAAAAGATCATTACATGTCTGTCTCAAAAAGCATTTGCCTCACCGAGGCACGGACCAAAAAAATACATTCCAATCTTAAGACAATCTAGAGGTCAACACATGCTTTTCTATGTCTCAAAGTAATAGAAATGACATTCACTAAAATATGTGTAGTAATAATATTTCATTCCAGCCTACAAATGAAGCCAGCAGTTAGTGTAATAATTGTTAGTTTTATGTGAAATCACAATTAGAGGTGAACTTACTAGAAATCCATCAATCTGCCCCCATACAAAAAAAGTGTTTGAAAGACTGATCAATGCAAACTAGTAAAATGGACATGACCAAAATGCAATTTAAATTTCCCTTTCTGGGTATATTGAAGTTATTCTCCTTAAATACATCAAGTGCTCTTTTTGAGAGCATGTCAGTTTTTATACACACTAAGATGATTATTCAATAGCAACACAGCTGTCATTAGCAAATTCCCTTCTTCCTCCTCATTAACACAGGTGAGCTGCTGGCATACTTTATCTCCTTGGGTGTATTACACCCCATTCTCTCCTGAATATGTGCTGGAAATTCATCTCTTCTATGGTAGCAACTAATCATTGAAAGTTACAGAAACTGATTACAACTGACAGACATTTTTTGCTCTCACATTATCAGTTAGAAAGCGTCACAGAATCTACGCTTTGGTATTTTCACATGAATTTTACTGCAGGAAGTAAGGGCATAGCTTTGGAGACTTAGGAGTTTACTACTGCCAAATTTTGAGTATAGAAACTTTTATAAAAAGGATCACAAGGCCAAAACCACTTATGAAAGAAGCACATTTTCTGTTTAAATACTTTTTTCTTTACAACCTAAAAGTCTGGATACTCAGAGGCAGACAGAAACCAGTTTTAAACATATGGAGACAGACTGCGTTTACTCCCTGGAAAAGACTGTCAACCCAAAAGTAGCTGGCAGGATAGCGTGTCCAGAAGGGAGGGTACCTGATCACCACATATACAAGGTGCTGTATATGCAACCCTGTGTTGCTACACAGTTTAGACTTTGTTCTATGAAACAGCAAAATTTACCTCGAAACCCTAATAAATGCTAATAACTCGGTGTACAAGAAGCCAAAAACTCATGTTTACCAAAATGCACATACTACTCCAGCAGATAAACAAATGCCCCACAGATGGCTCATTTGGATAGCTCCTGGTTTACAAATCTGGAAATTCAGGCACACAGAGACAAGTGGATTGGGGTGGTTTCTTTAAGCAGGTGGTCTGTGCAACAGAATTCCCTGCAATTGTTTCCACGGTTACACTGAAGCTTTCTAAAGTGAAAAGATGGCCACGTTCTTCCTTATCAAAGTTCTAGGTGATGAAAACTTCAGTAACATTTTTCTGTTAATATCTAAATATGCTGAGAAGACAACTGCATGGACTGATTAAATGGAAAAAGTACTGGAGAATAAAGAGTTGACATTTTTCAGATGTTTAAAATAACTTGCTATCTATCAAGGAATGTAAGCAATTGTATCTTCTATAGTTATGAGTGAATAAAAAAACCCACTCACACTCATGTTTTACAAACTACCAGTAAAGATTTTGTCTCTTGTGAAAAAGTGTTCCCTCCCAAACTACAAATAAAAATACTTGAAACAAGAGGAGAACTTTACAGAAGAGATGCATCATGAAACAAGTAAAACTGTTTTTCAGAACAAGGATGTTAAAAGACAATGGAAGAGTAAATTCACACATCTTCCACTGGAAGTTCACTAAAATGTTGAGATAGAAAAAACACTTTTTACATTACCTTAGGATAAGCTCATCTCTAGGTAAAACCTTAAAATCTGCTTCACTAAGGCGAACCTATGACACAAAAAGAAAAGCGTAACTTATCAAGCTGTCCCGATAACCAGGAAGAGTGAAGCCACAAGTAATTTTAAAAACACATACCTTCTTTGGGAGAGGTTCTTCATTCGTCATTGTGAACTCTGAAGGGAGAGGAAAAAACAAGTTTTATTTAGTGTAGTTTCTAGTGTAAAAGAAACACTGAACAAGTCAGAAACTTGTACTTCTAGCCTTAATTGTTTTAATTTGCAATATTACACCACTGAAATATTGGTTCCACACAATGCAGCACCAGAGTACAAAACAACACTATGACATGTTTGCTCCTGTAATCTAGACATAGTCAGATGCATTTTTCTAAAAGCTACCTCAAACTTTCTACTTATGTCTAAAAAGCCAACCTGTAATCAATTCTTCCTATTTAACTAATCAAAACCATCCAACTTTGTATCAAACTGACATTTAGTATCTGTCTACATCTACGGAATGTTGTATTTTATGAGGTAAAGGATAATCAGGGTCTGAGGAAAGCAATTTATACTACTGTGCCTCCCCTTTGGAATAAAAGAGGATAATTTGTGAACATTACAACATGTTCTTGCAAGTACTTACTCTCGTAAGATTCCAATAAACAGGAAGTACTGTTATTTTAAAACCCATGTGAATATTTTCAGGAAAAGTAAGATGCAAAATAAATGGCTTTGATAGACCATCAAACTGAATTCCTTTAGTGCATACAGAGCATTAAGAGTACTGTATTTTGCTATTTTAAATACTCACACCGCCCTGACTTACAGGACATGCTTCCTTATCTCAAAAGAGTAATACACAGTATTTTCTACAACTATGATTATGTAAAAAATACTGAGTTCCTAAATCTTACAGGCATTCAAAGTAACAATACATGCAAGGTTTGCTGGAGGCATGTATATTTGCAGTATGCTTTCCACTGGAAAAGTTGCATATAATATTAAGAGTTGACAAGCTTGTAAAACTGCTACCATACATATACCAGGAAAAGGATGTGTCAACTCTTTGGTTGTGAACACTTTAGCTTTAAAGAAACAATGCTCTTAGGGAGAAGATATTTTATTTTCCCAATGATTTTTATGGATTACCTTAGTATTTTCACAATGACACACAATGAACCAATTTAACTTTTCCAAATCCCAAACTGTTGGTTAGTAAGTACTAATACAAGTAGTTAATACAAGTTAGTAAGTACTAATACAAGCAAATACTTTCCAACAAAGCTGAGTCTTTTCAACCTGCACTAACACCATTGACAACTACACAGCACCCTACCAAACAAGGTCCTGGTTAACAACATGCAAAACAATCAACACTCACACTCCCTTCCTATAATAAATACTGACATTAGAACCCACAGAAAGAAAACATTCAGAAGAGGCATCTCACTAACGAATGGCAGCTTCCTGTTGCTAGGCTTAGTAACGCACAGGCACATATGTGCTTCCCTAAACTAGGAGGTCCCCTCCACTCCCACCCCCTTCTACTTCCACTCACAAGAAGTTATTCAAGCACTTTGCTTGACCTTCTGCATGCAGCTCCTTATTTGAGACTGTTTTACCAGAAACATATCTTAAATATAAAATACAAGCGTAAGAGGCAACCGATAGAAATTGCCAGTGCCCAACTCAGTCATTCAGAGTAACTTGAGATTAGAGAGGGAACGCTTGTGACCCCTGTGTTTAGGCTGCCTACCTTCCCCACTGTAATTTTTCCCAAGATTTTTAGATTTTTTAACTCCTTTGGAATCTGGAAGTAGTCTTGAAGATCTCAGCTGGTGTTAAGCTCCTGACAGAGAGAAAGATGCTTTTCAGATGTCACACAACTACAGCTAACACTGACTAAATGGTGCACACATGTCAAGTCATTACATGTGTGCTCCTCAAGAAAGTACCAGAAGCACACAAATACCAAAAAATGTGAATTTTCCCCAAAAACCTGGCCTGTAACCCCTGCTGCAGCATACAGCAATTATAAACATGTGATTGCTGTCACAGCCATGACTACAAGAAAGCAAAGGTTGATCCTCCATCCAAAGGTAGTGAACACTGCATCTCCAGACTTCACACAAAATTCCAGCACCAGACCAGTCTACTCTAACCTCTACACCCAGCACATCACCATTTACAAAACCACCTCCTGCTTTCAGACAAGAGCACAAAAGACTGAAGTAATGGGCCACTGCATCACAGAAGTTACTGCCTTACTGCCACTTATTATTACTTGCCACGACAGAACCACACACTATAAAATAAAAACACATTAGCTAAAAATATTCTGTAGGTTACTCTGGAAAAGTTAGGTTGATAATATCTATAGATCAACACTTAGTGCTCTTCCCACACATACGAATTTCACCTTGCAACAGATTTTTGAGAAGCCAGAGTAACTTAACAGAAGCTTACACATTTATTACTGTTGTATACTGCTATCATTGTGCTCAGAAACCACTCCGTTTCTCAAAGATATCAGCAGTGCTAGGCTGGCTACAGCAACTGTCACAGTGATTTGCCTTAATTTTCTGTTAATGAGCAGGTCAATCTGTATGCTACAGAAAGCAACTGCAACTGAAACGTTCATTCTTTTAATCTAATACAGTAACTTCTCCAGCACTGTGCATTAAGAGATGCTTCTTATCACTTGGAACTCCTCTAAGAGATCATCTCTCTCCTAACCCTATCAGAAGTATCTTGCAAGACCATGATGAAGTGTCACTTTTTACAATAAAAAGAATCAATGTAAACAACATTCCTGCATAGCTGACTGGAATTAACACGATTGTATTTTGTGAATTATATTATGAACAGCTTAACTGTACTATCCTAACTAAGCACTTTCATGATTTTGCAGAAACAGTGGCCGCCACACTCCTGCATATCTGCTCCTGGCAGCAAGCAATATAAAACCATATTCCATACTTAGAATAACACTGCCACAGGCACCAAAAGAATTTTTAGGAAAACTCTAGGTTTTAGGTTTCTACGGCAGTTTCAATTAAAAGAGATGTGAAATGGGGAAAGCATATTTTTATTTTAGTAACTCTGGAAGAAGCCCACACACCTTTTTCTAGAAAGTTTATAAAACACAGGATTTAAAAACTTTTTAAAGAAACCTCAATGAACAAAAGTAATTGAATCAGGTATGCAGCTTTACTTGTTACACCCGAATCAAGTTATTTTAATGATATGAAGAATGAGTTCCATGGGGAAAACCCCAGTATGGGCTCCCAGCTCCCAAAGCATGTATATATGTTTGCATATATATACAAACATATAATTTACAGAATCACAGAATCGTTAAGGTTGGAAGGAACCTCTGGGGATTATAAAGACCACCCCCACTTCACTACCAAGGCAAGTTCACCTAGAGCAGATAACACAGGAACGTGTCCAGGTGGGTTCTGAACGTCTCCAGAAAGAGAGACTCCATGACCTGCCTGGGCAGATGTCCTGAATGAGTGTACCTGAGATTGCTCAAAAATTTCTCAGATCACACTGCAGCCTAGAAAGGAGTTAAGGGGGAATGCACCATCACAGCAGTCTGTTCCAGTGCTCTGCTGCCCTCAACGTAAACAAGTTCTTCCTCATGTTGAGGTGAAAACTTCTTGTTTTATTAGTTTAGGGCCATTGACCCTCGTCCCGCCGCTGGGTACCACTGAAAGATTCTGGCACCTTTCACTTTATGATAGCACCCGCCTTTAGGATATTTGTATGTATCGATGAAAGCCTCTTCTCTTTTTAGAGCAAACAGGCCCAGTTCACGCAGTCTCTCCTCACAACAGAAATATTCCAGACCCCGTATCATCTTTGCGGCCCTCCCCTGGACCCCCTCCAGCAACTCCTCTTTCTCGTATTGAGGAGCCTTTTAATGTTTAAAAAGAAAAGCCTCACAGTTGCACCGTAACCGGTCAGCCCTCACGCTCGCCTCAGCAACCGCGGGGGTCCCGCCCCCCGCCCCGCAGCCGCAGGTGTTTGACAGACCCAGCTGCTGCGGCCGCCCCCCAGCCCAAGCAGTGCCCGCCCCGCCGCCCTCGCTCCTCTTCCACAAGGGAAGCGACAAACACGGCTCCCGCAGCCGGGGCGCGGCGGCAGCCCAAGGCTGGGGGAGGAAGATCCCGGCCGCGCAGCCAGGCCGGGCTTCGGAGCCTCGAACAAAATGGCTCTAAGTGCTTCCGCTCCTCCCCCCCGCGCCTGAGGTAAGGGATGAAGACGCCGCTGAGGGTCGGCACCCCGGGCTGCCCTGTCCGTCCGTCCCGCCGGGGCGGAGCGCTCGCACGGCCACTCACCTCCCGCCCGCGGCGCGGAGGCCCCGCGCCCCTCGCACGCCGCTTGCCTGGGCCGCGCTCCGCCTCACATCGAGCGGGGCCGAAACGCCGCCACCTCCGCGCCTGCCGCCACCAGCTCCGCGGGCGCCGCCGCCCCCAGCTCCACGGCCGGGACCGCCGCGTCCCCCCCCCCGCCCGAGCTCCCCCGCGCGCCGCTCCCGCCCGCTCTTTATTTGCGGGTTGTCTGCGCTACAAAATGGCGCCCAGGGAGGAAATGAGCGCCCGCCCCGCCCCGCGGGCGGCGGCTGCGCGCGCACCCGGCGCGGGGCGGCGGCGACGGCGGGAGGCGCCGCACCGGTGCCGGGCCGCAGCGCGGGTCCCTCGGCCCGGTACGTCGGACCCCTTATGGGGTGGCCGCCGCGGGGGATCGCTGCTCGCCCCGCCGGGAAGCGGCGGCTCCCGCGGGTTGTTAGAGCGCCGATTTGAAGCCCATCGGCCGAACGGGCCGCGCAGCGCTCGTATCCGTGGGGTGCCGCGCGGCCTCCTGCCGGCGGGGGGCGCCGCTGCCTGGCGGGATGGGGCGAGCGGCGCCCGTCTCCCGCCAAACCGGCTGAGGGGAGCAGGACCCGGCGCCTCCTGGGAAAGGCGCTTGGCGCCTTCCCGGAAGGCTGGCGGGGAAGATGGGATATCTGGGAAGGAAAACTGCACGCAGCAGTAAATAAAGTGCAAGATGGGCGCCCGGCTTCTCGGCGTGACTGCCGGGGCTGCCTTCCCACCGGCCGCCGCTCGGCGGCCTCGGTGTGAGCCAGTGTCCTCTGCAAGTAATGAAAGATAAAGGACTTCCAGCCGCTTCCGAAGAAGTTAAACATCAGTTCCCGCGTCTGAGAATAAAAACCAATAAAGTGAAGTTTGCCCTTCATTACGGTCTAGCACCGAGTTGGTGCTTTTGAATGAAGTTTATATGTCTTACTATCCGTGATTTCGCGCTGTGATGTTGGGCAAATGCTTTTGCTGGCAAAGTCGTAAAACTGCTGCGGGCTAAATTAGTCTGTCACCTAGGTTGCGCTAATGAAATCGATTGGCACTCGCTACGTCAGGGCTGAAGGTGCTCCAGAAATCTCCCCTGGCTCTTACTGGTAGCAGAAAGAATAAAATCGCTACAGAATAGAACGCAATGCACGTGGTCCCACATCTATATATGTGTATGAATACAAAGATTTTTCAGTGAGAGCTTAAAATGTTTAAAAACCACGCTGCAAGTGATTTGACGTAGCTACCCGAGGTAGGGTAGTAAGGTGACTGCAAGGAGAAAGGACCTGAATAAATGCCTTTGAAACCTTATTTAAAAGTGAAAAGAGATATGCTGTGATTACCGTACAGTTTCCTGCTTCTGCTTTTCTTGCAGATGTTTTAAGCATTCAAGATACAAATTAACAGATGAAGCCATCCCAGGATATGGCAGCATGGAAGATGCACTGAAATATTAGAGTAGGCCTTAATAAGAACATTAATGCAGCAAGTTTACTTGATTTCCTTGTGTACAAATGTAAACATTACAATACTAAAAATGTATATAAACCAAGAAGGAGAATAAATTGAAACTTTTTCTACATAAAATAGATGCAGATGTACACTCAGGGCAGCTTCTATTCTGTGTATAACATGCCTAACATTTTCTGTGTATCTGTGGTGATTTAAACTCAAGACCTTCCAGTACTTTGTCTAGAGTTTGGCTACTTTTTGTTATGTTCAGAAACCAAACCTCCTTTGTGTCTTCTAAGTACAGATAAAGGTCTAGCTCAGATCTACTCTAAGGTGTGGGCTGGTAAACCTTCCACAATTGTTTGTGTTCATGAGCATGTCAAAAGTATTCCTGCATTTTTTACCCCTTGTCAGCACCTAGTTTTTTTAAAATTATCTTTACAAGTGTAGATTACATTTGTGGGAAATATGCTAGCTGAGCAAGAGGCAGGCAGCCAGGGACATGTAGAGATAAGTGGAATCAGCCTGCAGAGCTTAATATTCTGGAATGCCTTCCTTCTTTTTTTTTTTTTTTTTAGTTTTTTGAGTTAGTACTTTTGAGTTAGTAAGTGTATAATCAGGCTGCACCTATAATTTTTCTTTAGGGAAATAAGGGCAACAATTTAGTAACCAGTCCTCTGATACCTTTGAGAAGAGGACATTTAACTGAAATACTCTTTTGTTGTGTTTGCACATCACATTACAGAGTGAGAACTAACCTGGGATTTTTTAGTGCTGCTGGAACAAACATGTCGACACCCACCTTGGGTTGTGTTCACAGTGTTGTAACTGGAGTAAATTTGATTTTCAAGTAATAGGTGGTATCATAACCCCCAGCAGCAGAATTGGTCTTTGGATGAGAGAGCACATCATGACCTGTCCAAGCACCAGCACAAAAGCCAATTTCATATATTGATTCACCTATGAGAAAATGGAATAGGAACCAGATCATGAATGTGTGGGAAGCACAGCTCACCAGGTTTTAGGTTCCTTGAATGATGCTGTGTTACTCATTAACTTAATTATCCATTAACTGGATAACTCCTCCTTGGTTTTACCAGCACAGTTCTGGGTTTCTGTTCCACCCCTCGGTTTCAGATGGAAGCCCTCTGGACCAACACAAATATCACAATGTTCCCGAGATCCGGGGGATGCTATTTGTCCCTGGGGAAGGCAGGCTCTGAGGGAAAATGCTTCCTAGTGTAAAACACTCATAAAAAAAATTTAGTCTGCAGGTCAGGAAAATGAGAAATTAGGGGGAAAATTACATAAAGCCTTTTTCAAAAGTTAAAAAAAAAAAAAAGAAAAAGAAAAAAAGAAAAAGTTTTGGCGTACCGTACATACTCTTGGCATTTTAAAGGACCTTGAAATATGATGAACTAAAGAAAGGCCAATTGGCTCTTGCAAAGGCTGTCCTTGACTTGACAGGACAGGAGATGGAGCAAGGCGAACCCGTGGTACATCTGCAGCAGAGAATGAGCTCTCAGGCACACTGGAAAAAGCTGCTGCTCCCACAGGTGTGAGAGAGAGATAAAATCTATGGATTGCACTGAGAGAAAAAGTGATACACAGAGGTCCTTCAGGTAACCACTAGGTAAAGATCTGGGCTGCAGAAAGTCCAATTTTGACATCAGAGAACTCTCTCTTTTAGAGAAGCTTCCTGAATACTAGGCTGCAGGCTTAATGCTGTCTTTATACCCCCTAGTAACATGCTTTTATGGGTATTAGTGGAATTATCACATATTTTTCTTACATGTTTATAGCAATAAGTAACTAAACTTTTTCAGAAAGCTCTTGCATTAATTACTTTTTAATTAACAGTAATTTTAATCAATTTCTATATATATATATATATAAAAATATGTATATAGTGAGTTAACTTCAGAGCCTGTCCTGAAGACATCCCCTGACCGATAATCCATCCACATACAATTACAACCAAATGGTGACTCAAGTTACGTTCATTTTTTGAGGATGCTTGATAAATACTACAAGCTTGCATTTGGAGTACAGGTCTACATATAGTTGCTAAGGATATAAGCCCAGGTGTTTACTGTACTTTTTCTTAAACCATAGAAAGTCCAAGATAGTTTTAATAGTACAAATGTTTTCCTGTCTGAGTGGAAGACAACATTTTTTAATTAAACACCAATTAGATTATGATTCCCTTACAAAGATGGATTCAAGGAAAACACAGATTGCTCTTAACACAGCCAAGGATATTTCATTGCCTTGATTTCCAAGACAGTTGGACTTCCTGTCAGTCAGGTGGGAGATTGAGAAATTTTAGAAAATGTAGCTCTTTACCTCACTGGGAAAACAGTATGTCTGTTTTTAAAACATTACTTATCTGTTGAACCTACTCATAGACAACTGAATACCAGTCTACTGCTAAAAAAAAAGTGGAAAAAGAATGCACAGTCTTTCTACACATGAAAAGAGGCCTTAAGGTACTCAAGGCGTCCAGGAAACCTGAATGTCCTAAGCAGATATTAGCAGCAATATTTGTGTATAAGACTTTGTAGACTAGAGAATTTGCTGTCACAGGAGAGTTGTGAAATCTAGTTTTTAAAAAATTAGAAATATATCATAGTAAGATTTATTAATTTAAAGTAATTGGATTTTGTTTGCTTGTTTTTTCTTTAAGAGGTGCAGCTTAGTTTTTATTAAAATCACATTCCCAACAAACCTGGTTTTGCAAATATTCATTGACCAAGTGTCAGATTTAAGAAGAAAAATAAAGCAAGAGCTTCACATCTTGGTAACAATACTGATCTTTTAAAAGGTCAGATTTAGAAAAAAGTTATTTAGCAGGAGAGTAAATCAGTGAACACTGAAATCCTCTAACTTTTTGTCTGAATGAAAATGCAAAAATCTTTGTGCCTTGAGTATTTAATGGAAGGCGCATGTCCATTTGATTGTGTTCATAGCAAAGTAGTAAATAAACTTTGTGCAACTGATAGCAAGTAAGATTTCTGTTCTGAACTGATGACTTCATTTCCCAGAGTTTAGATTTCCAAGAAATGGTAAAATGTGCCAGCATAGGGCAGTAGTTTGCTACTGAGTATTATGCTGCTCATTAACTATTGAATTTAAAAGCACACTGCCTACTCCCATTCAGTAGTGTTTTTTTCTGCATTTAAATAACTAAACTTTGATCTGTACTATGCATGTTTCATAATTATTTGCCTTTGTGCGATTGCTACATTATTTTGCTATGTTACATGTCCCTTTTGTCCATATGGATCTCAATCCTGGACACCAGCCAGGCAGAGTTAAATAGAATACTGTAGATCTGATAGACATACCAAAATAAAATTAATGTCTGTTGTTTTTGGGTGGCCCAACCTCACAGACTGGTTTGTCACTAATGTTGAGCTGCAAAACTGTTCTGCTGGTTGGAGCTGAGAGCTAAGCTGACAGTAGGTCAGCTCACTGGGTTGAGCTAGCCTGAAGTCCCTAAGGCTGCTTCATATTTGAAGTTTCTCTGTCTGCTAGTTAACTGTAGGGAGGAAAGGGGCTGAAGCCTTGCTTTATGTTCAATTCAATATTTGTGGTGATATTTGTAAAATTTTAAATTCAAGAGAATCCT